TTTCAGTCAAACCCATCTTTTGTACACATAGACAATTTACATAATGCTAAATTTTACGCTTCCCTCCGAAATTTGACCGACTTCAAAGTTAAGAAAGTACAATGAACTTATTGAATGTCTCAATTTTTGTTCACGTCACGGTACCTCCACTGGCTTACTCTTCTAGGATTTTAAGATATCATATGAGATTATTTAATTCGCTGGCTTATTGAGTAATTATAAATTAGATAATTTATTATATGTATTTAGAACACTCTTGAAACACTTCTAATATACAAAACGCCTTCGTAAATTCATACTCTCTGTAATTAGAATCCCGTACACGTTTCCCTAAATTTTTTCAAATACATCTTTCGTTACACAGCGTGAGGTGTACTTTCTCTGAAAGGAGGCTGTAAGTACGATGGTAACTTGTCCAAGCAATTGAAAAAAAAGATAAGCCCTCCTGCTGTACGATGGCTGTTTACTAGTGTTCACCATTGTTGCGATACCGCAGCATTTTCGCATCTCGAGTGTCGTAAACTAACCGAATAATTACGGCGCATGCTGCAGATCCTATTAGACGTGTAAGTATACTTGTAAAACTTGAAAGCCTCCTATCGTTCGTTAGCAAGAAGTTGGCGACATTTTGACAAATTGTCAAATGGCGCGGCGCTGTGCTTGCTGACCAGTAAACTGCTTTTGTCACGTTATAACGCCATCGATCACCCAAAGGAGAACCGATCGCGCGGGTGTTGCGCAAACAATCGTAAAATGATAATCATCGGAGGAGATTGCTGGCTACTGTGAAAAACATCATCGCCTTTCAATTAGGAGTGCTTTATACCTGAGAATTGGATCAATCGTAAAGTTGCTTGATTAATGCGATCGAATTTGAAAATAAAGAATCGATGAATAGATAGGAACGTAAGGGATAATTGCAATTTATCAACAGATTTAATAATAATAAAATTATTTTAAATTCAATTTTTAAAAATTACAACGTAAAATTAAAAAGTACAACTTTAAAAAATTGTAAATCTCAGCGAATGATTTACGATGTTCCAGGCAGTACCTCTTCGTAGCGTTTGGGGTAAACGCCATAATCCTTCCACCGCCCTTTTCCAGAAAGCCCTCCCCAATTCGTGACCAGACCCTCGGAACACTTTTATTATAATTCACGTGTCAAGCGGTAGCATGACTCTAAATCCCATCGACCGCGATACGAATCCCTTTGATGTGCTGACGAAGTATCGCTCGAGTCGCGGCATCCGCGAACTCTCCGCGCGTCCACCGGCAATCGTCGGTTATCGATACTTCTACCTACAAGGTATCTATCCATAAGATTCGGAATATCGGCAACTCTTAAGAACTATGTCGCATATTCCCTACGTGTTGATCTCGTAGCCTCATTGCAAGTCATTTCTTTCCAAATCATTTCCCTTCGTTATCAAAATGAAAAAAAAGTATTAATATGGAAATGGGAAGTATTGCTGTCAATCATATAAGAAAACGCGGGACGGGAATAGGAGCGAGAAGTGTGATATAAAAAAGAGGGAGAGAGCAAAGTATACATTTATTCGTAGGCGGAGCGTTTCCGAGGCGAACACGAAAGGGGCTTAAGGGACCCGCAAACGCTAGACCGCGCGCGACGCGAGTCAATATTGTGACATACATCGCCGACGGTGGGCCTGAGCCAGCTGCCATTACGAGACCGAAAGATTATCTTTGCCTTCTAAATACTTACGTCTACTCAAATGCCTACAATCATCGATTTCACTGATTTCAGACGACAAATTGTCTGTTGACATTCACGCCAAAGTGTTACTTCCCAGATTTTCTAAAGTCTCAACTTCTCTACGATATTTCGATTACTCCATAGCGAATTATAATAGCACTTTAATATCCTAATCTGTTATTATCAATCTGCCTCATTAATTTCCATTAATTGGCCTGAATAAATTCAGTATTAAGTTATATTGAATTCCTGAACAAATTATAGTCATTCTATTCAAAATTGAAATAGTGGCTAGAGAGTGAAGAGTAAGCTTGCAGCATTTCCTAAATTGTGTCTGAGCTTCAAATTTCTGGTTGATCCTTGCATTAAATGACAATAAATTTTTACTGCATCGCTTTATCTCGGCTCACGAGGTGTACACAATCCGACAGACTTGTAATCAATTGTTGATTAACGTTATCCATTAATTTATCAGGTTCCGCGGAAAATTATTGCGCCTCCCGATACAACAGGGCACAGTAACAGTCATTACATTCGTAAATTAAGAGAATAACTGTTTACATTTTTATTTACTTTAATTATCTGAATGGAGTAATTTGTGGATTGGTTCGTTGGAATTGAGGAATATAAAAACATAAGTCGAACGTAAGTGTATGTATATTCATGGTATCAGTGATTCTTACAACTCACATTGTCTACAAATAGTAGATGGTTAGATTTAGATAAATCTTTACATCTATTACGAGGCTAGATAAAATCTGCCTGTCATAAATTTTTAACAACGACCGAACTTGAGGCGAGAGCTTAGATTAATTCAATGAGAATTATTACAACGTAAATGAAGACGCGAAGTACTAATCTGGCGTGAATCCACTCGGAAGCAGTCAGCAGGTATCATTGATCGTTGAAAATAGATCGGCAAGATGTTAATTATAGTTTTTATAACGCTGTCCGTGTCTGGAATTCGAGATTACATTCTTGCCAGTAGCCCTATCGATTGTTCAATGCGAATATGGTTGTAAACAGTGGGCAGAGAGTAACGATCGATCTTAATTCCTCTCCTAAATCATTTCCATGACTGCTACCTGATTTATGAACTCGCCGTACCTGCAGTCTATAATTGTCATGCATTGTTAATTGTGTTTTCACTTTGTTACAACCGTGCAATAAAGCGTCGCAAATCTGCCTGTTTATAATGAAATATTTAATTCGTTATCGTAATAAAAATAGATATACGACTTGTTTGAGGGATTTGAGTTCATTGCATAAACGAATCTTGTTTTCTTAGTTACTAATGAGAGCAAACAAGTCCAGTAAAACTGTTTTCCAATTCTATAT